TATTGTAGGAGAAACAGATGGCATTTTGTCCTGATGCCATCCTACACTCAAGAGAGCTCAAGGGATACTGTTGCTAGTTTCCTGTATTTTGAAAGGATGAAGCATTATCTGGATTTTAACAAAATAAGTACTCTAATTATAAAATTTAATTATAAAAGATAAACATGCTAAGGAATTTCCGTAAATCCTGAGATAGTTCTGCATTCATTGAATTTCAAGATAGGAAATTCCCAACTGTTCACATGTAATAGCATGTAGGATCTTACATGGGAACTTGCTTTTCTTGTCTTTGAGAATTCAGTTTATGGCTGCAAACCAAATATATTTTCTCCTGTTCTCACATGATCAAGTCATCTACTCCATGTAGTTACAAAGTGTCTAATAACATTTCTATGCAACTCATAAATAGCATCTAAAATGTTAGAATTTCATCCAACCTTATAATGAGCAGCTCTCTCTCTCTAGTTATGGCTAAAGTCCACTAGAAATCCACTACTGAAGAAGACAGATCTTGTTTCATTTAGGTGGACACAAAAACTGAATGACAGTGATTTAGAATTCTAGGATTTGAGACCTGAAAAGAACTTTTTGTGATTATGCTAATGTAATACAACCTCTGCATCTTCTAGCTTAGAAAATATATGAGATTAAGGTATTTCAAAACATCACAGCACTTGTTAGTAAAAAAGATGCCTTGATTTCCTTTTCAGTGCTCTTCATTATATGAAATAGAAAAATATGTTTTTGTTTCTAATTCTACTACCTGGGCATGTGGAATGTACTTGCCCTCTGAACCATCTCTAAGAAAATATTTACTTTGACAGTTATATTCATAAGCAAAATTTCAGAAGAAAGATTTAAACTCTTTAAGGAAACAAGAGTGACTTCAGAAATATATAATAGCAGTATATACAAAGTGCTAATTAACAAATAGTCTTATAAACCCCTAAATTACCTTTATTAGGTAATGATTTAATAACTAGATCAATTAACCTACGGAATTAATGGTAAAACAATTTTATTTTTTTGTAGTTTATAATGTTTATTATTTTATGATAATAAGTTTGTACTTCTACTAAGTTTGTATTCATGCAATGCCAATTCCTATACATATCCAGCCCTCAGACTATTAAATTTTTTCCAAGATTTATCCTAAAATAAAGTAATCACCAATTTTTCATTTGTGGTTTTGTGGATGCTTATCCCCTTACAGATCATAATGTATAACGAACAAAAATCTATTTCTTAGGTTTGCATGTAATGGCAATACATAAGTCAGGGTCTTATAAATGGTAGGAGGTCCTTTTTCATAGTAACTTAACAGTAATTCTTGTTGTTCAACTAATAAATACTTTATACTTCTTTTATTAGTAAATTACCATTAGTTTAAGTTGAAAATTAATTTTCCTTCACATATTAAAAAGACATATACAAATATATAACAAATAATAATAAAATATATAAAAATAAATAAATACAAATAAAATAGGGTACTACTTTCCATCCATATTCCCATCAAAACACAGCTTTTATGAAAGACATGACATCAATTCCTTCTGATTATTAATTTCATATTAACACATTTTTACACTAATGGTTATCCTTCTCTTTTGACATAGGAGAGGTCATTTTGATTTGAAGCCAATCAAAATAAATGTAGCTAATTTGTTCAATTAAAAGAAAAAAGGTGTGATGATGCAGCCTTGATGATTTCTTCTATTTGCACTGATCCCCAAATTTCATGATATCCTATAAGAAATTTACAAGTAAGTCACTAGCCAATGAGTTATTTACCTTAATAAATATTTATTAAGCATTGATTTCAACCGATGCTAAGCAAAGTTACAAATATATGTGTTTATAAATGTAGCTAATTTGTTCAATTAAAAGAAAAAAGGTGTGATGATGCAGCCTTGATGATTTCTTCTATTTGCACTGATCCCCAAATTTCACGATATCCTATAAGAAATTTACAAGTAAGTCACTAGCCAATGAGTTATTTACCTTGATAAATATTTATTAAGCATTGATTTCAACCGATGCTAAGCAAAGTTACAAATATATGTGTTTTTCATAGAGGAACTTAGAGTTTATTTTGATATTCAAGCTATATATATATGAAACAACTACAAGATTATGGTTGTAGATGTGCCATATAAAAATGGTGCTATATAATTAGTACTTTGCATAGCTGGCCCTGTGCAATGTTAAGTGAAATGAAAGTAAAGTCATGTCTCTCTCTGTGTCTGAGATAAACAATAATTTTCTTGGAGGAAGAGATTTCAAGAGGAATCAGAAAATTGAGCACAGCAAAGAAAGAAAAAAATATTTCATATGCAAGTAGAAGGGGAAATCAATAGGATCAAATAAAACAGAGGCTATATAATATGAAACCTGAAAGGGTATTGTGATGATGTTAGTCACTCATTAGCATAATCTTTTGAGAGAAGAAAACAGAAAAATCCCATTTTCAATGAAAACATCAGAGCTAGTGGCAACTCTTGAAAAAGAGGATTTTCAATTTAAAGTACAATTTCAATTAAAGCTAAAAGATACTGTAGCAAGCTCAACATTTTTGAGAATGCTTAAGTTTCCTATTTGGAATGACTTTGGGGGATAAGTAACAAGAAAATCTCATCTCTCACAAAGAGGAAAATATTCAGGTATGTGGGAGAAAGCTGCATTCAAAAGAGGAATCTCCCCAGGTTGCTGCCATCTGTGAGGTGGGGAGGGAGTGCCAAGCCTGGCGGGCGGAGAGTGTGGACAGGTGTCTCAGCCACCTGGCCCCTCCAGGGAGAACAGGAAGGCAGCATTACATCGGTGAGTTTGTTAAACAGAAAACAACAATATCTGCAAAATGGACCCAAGAATCTGAGGCTTTCCAGCTGACAAATGGATGGAGGTGTACAAGGCAAACTGCCTCCACTCTCCCAGGTGTCACGTGCAAAATTAGGGGTCAGTGCAGCTATATTTCCCTCACAAACTGGTGATTCTTTAAACATCATGTTGCATAATGATTAGATATCTTTAGATCGTGGACTTTATTGTAAAGATTCTTTTCACATATTGTACCCAGTTTGATTGGATAATTTCAAGTCCTTAAGGTACAAAAAGGCAAAGGTTATATTTAATATTTATAGGGGTGGGAATGAGAGGGAAGAGGAACAGCCTGGTCATACTCCTGGGCTCACAGACAAAAGTCCCAAATCCCTACTTCCATGAAGGTCTCTTGACTCTAGAGAGGAATGGTGGTTCTGCAGCTCAAAAGATGTCTTCCAAGGAAACAGGATGCGGAGGCTCAGTGCATCCTCGTGGGCACCAGCAAATATCATGAGCAAGGCTTTTGGGCCCATCTCATAACTTCAGACCAACTCAGGTGCCTTCTCAGTACTGGGAGCAGCAGCCCTGCTCTGTCCCTTCTCTGGTGGCATGTAGAGGAGGCCATAGTAGGGGAGAGCGCAGTTCGTATTCTTTCCAGAATGGCACCTTCAGCCTCTACACACAAAGAAAAACTATCTAGCTGATTTTAAATGCTCTTTAATTTGTATCAGCTGAAACACTGTATTTTTAGTTGCAAAGGAGTAAAATCAAAAGAAAAACAGTTATTTCTATCTTCTGAAGAATCAAAGATTCATTTCCCTGAAAACAGTTATTTGAAGGGACAGAAAACTTTAAGGAATAGACATTCCAAGAAAGCAAGCATGTGTAACAATAATTACTTTTGCTTACATCATTTGATTCTAATAACAATTTTGTGAAACAGTTGAACAGGCACTACTTGTATCTCCATTTTATAGATGAAGAAACTGAGGCCCTGGTCACCAATTTTAACTTTTCAAGACATGAAATCAGAAGGTTTGAGAGCCTTGCTCAAATCCAGGTGTAATCTCTCCTTCTCCCTTTCTCTATGTTACCTAGAGGTGTAGAACTACAGTGTCACTGTTGTTTGTGGCTGCAGTATCCCTATGGTGCTGCTTAAGTACTCGAATGACTTTAGAGTCCTTTTTTTTTTTTACTCCTATGCTATTCCTAATTGTTATGAAAATAAATGTAATAAATTAGGGTATGTAAAATGAAAAATACTGATCATCAGTAGCACCTGCTCCGTTTTTGTTTGACTAACAACTTCATGCATCTGGGATTATTAAAGAAATAAAAACAAAACAAAATCTCTTAGCTAAAAGTTTTCTTTTATCTTATTCATCATTAGAACATTAGTGCGAAGCAGTTTTACTAAAAATCTTAAAAGCAGGGATGTCAACTTTAATAATAATATTAAATAAACCACAAAAAAATTATGAAGGGCTTTCTAAGATATAACTTTTAGTGTTCTGCTCACTTCTGGATTTAGGGCAATATTATAAAAAAAATCCTTTCTTGTTTTTGGGGTAAAATAACAATGATATGGTAAAACATTATTGTTTGGTCTCACTTTTGTAACAAAATCACCAATTACTCTACCTTGATGACATCAAAGAACTACCTTGCCCTCTTTATTTCATTTGTGTTCACATTATTCTTCAATGTAAATATCCAGTGTCTTTTGTGAATGGAAGAGAAGACACTAAATAAATGAAAATAATTTATTATCAAGAAATAAAGCAAGGAGCAGTGTAAGGTAGGAAGTGGATAATGGCAGGGCTGTAGGGCCATGTTGCCCAGTTTGAGTCCAGGCCCCACCACTTACCAGCTGTGTGACTTTATGTAAATTTCTTTACCTCTTTAACCTCAGTTTTCACTTACAGAAACCTACTCTATAGTTTTTGTGCAGATCAAAGATTAAAACATATGAAAAGGAAAGAGGTACAATGAACATGTGGATTACACTTGATTTTACCCTGATTAAAAACTCAATAATTTGAAGTACACTTTAGAGTCCTACCATTAGGCCAAGTAAATTTATGCTTCTTGTTATAAGGTCATCTTCAACCCAGTCAGTAGGTTCAAGCCAGTAAAATCTTTCTGAGAAAATTTCAAGCTCCTCCCTAAGTCACAATCTGATTCTGCTAATTTAATCATAACTTTGGTGACAATTTTGCTATATTTTATAAATTATTTTTATTATTCTCTTTTTCTAATATCCTTACACCATTCCTTCCAAGAAACTGAGATAGTAGAGAAAAGAAAGATGGCAGGATAGAAAAAAGAAAACTTAGAAGTTGGTTTCATGCAATGGAAGAAAGAGGTTTGACATGCTGTAGTTCTGTAGCCCCTACATTGATGGTCATCACTTGTGGGCATTGGACTATTGGAATCTGAAGAGTTTCTACCAGGGATCCTTAAATCCATATTCACACTAAATATTGTCTCTGTGTTGATGAAATTATTCACACATATGTGCTACTATTTTTAAGTATCTGTAGTTTCTATTGTGATTAATAAAATATGAATTTTAAAAATTGCTAAATATTTAGCAGCATTTTATTTCTATTTCTTCACTTGGTGGAGACAATTATTATCTTATGAATCTGTAGTTTCTATTGTGATTAATAAAATATGAATTTTTAAAATTGTTAAATATTTAGCAGCATTTTATTTCTATTTCTTCACTTGGTGGAGACAATTATTATCTTATGGGGAGGTGTTTAACAATTTTTTCCATACAAATGAGGTGTTTATCTTCAGAAAGTTGATGGGCCACTTCCTTGTGGATCTTTCGTATATCAATAATAGTAGAGCTAATTAATTTCACCCAAGGCTTCATGTAACATCACAGGACTGAGCCAGAATTTGAAATCTTTTCTTATTCATTCCGTGCAAATAGTCAGAGACTCTCTTCAAGCACCCGTGACTCAAACTTTTTAATTAAAAACAAACAAGCAAATACCTACAGAACAGGGGAATTGCGGCCCTTTGGTTTCAGTATATATCAGTTCCAAGCTTAACTTTTCTTTCTCTGAATCTATTTCCCCACAGTTTCTCCACACTGGAGATGGAAAAATTCTCTGAACCACATGCTCAGCAGGAGTCCATCATGTATTTATCCAAGAACAGAAGAATTCATGTTGTCTACTTTCTGATTTTAGAGACTAGCTTTTATATGGCATATTTTCCAAATTAAAAATATCTTGAACCATTCCATTAGGATGCCATCAAAAGAGTTACTTGTGGTGGTTAATTAAATCTAACACATTTAAAAATAACTCTACATGTTGTGGGACAGATGCAGCCTTTGCAAAAAGAAAGATCCTACACTGAACATTACAACAGATTTTTGTATTCAGTAGTAGGCATCAGACACATTTCCAGAATATGTTCCCAAAGCCTCATTGGGAAGTTTATTCTTTGCTGACAGTGGGAGAAATTGGAAAATCCATATTTAAAGAGAAGGAGAGAAAGAAGTAAACTGTATATTTTTGCTTCTCAATCAATTCAAACTTGCCTCGCTATTTAAAAGTAATATCCCATTGTATATATTGTCCAGTTTTAACTGGAAAAGTGAACCACTCCAAAATCCCTTCCCTAACACCAAGGCAAAGACCAGGATAGAAATGGTACTTATATAAGAGCACACGGTCAGGTGTACCCTTGCAAGACGTAATTTTGAAAATTTAAAAGGATGTCCAGAACTGATTGTAAGAGAAAGGGCTGGATAGTACCGTATTGTTCTGCCTGAACAAATGAAACAATTTGTTGTTTTTTACTCTGAAAGTGTAGGGAAAAGAAGAAAGAAAAAGCTGAGAGAAGATGGAGCATCCAAATGAGTTTTTAAGAGCAGAGATTTTTAGAACTCACCCCTAACTTTGCATCACTCTGATGCAAACCTCCCTTCCATTGCTAAAGTCTGCAAATACCTACCAAGACTTTAGGTAAGTAGATTTTTTTCTGGGCATGCATGAAGGAAAGGGGAACTACATTTCGGTTGTTGCTTATGCAAAGATAAAGAAAATGTCATAAGACATTTCTCAAAAGAAAACATGAATGGTCAACAGGTACATGAAAAAGTGCTAAACATCACTAGTCATTAGGGAATGCAAATCGAAACCAAAATGAGATATCATCTCACTCCAGTTAGACTGGTTATTATCAAAAAGACAGAAAATAAATGCTGGCAAATATGCCAGGAAAGGGGAACTCTTATACTCTGTTGGTGGGACTATAAATTAGTATAGCCTTTGTGGGAAACAATATAGAAGTTCGTCAAAATACTAAAAATAAAACTACCATATGACTGAGCAATCTCACTACTTGATATATATATCCACAGTAAAGGGAATCAGTATATCAAAGAGATATTTTCACTCCCATGTTCATTGTAGCAGTATTCACAATAGCCAAGATATGAAATCAAAACCCAAGTATTCATCAACAGAGGAATGGATAAAGAAAATGTGGTATATGTACACAATGGAATACTATTCAGCTGTTTAAAAACAGTGAAATTCTGTCTTTTGTGGCAACATGGATGAGCTTAGGGGACATTTTATTAAGTAAATCAGAAACAGAAGGAGAAATACTGTATGTACACATTCATATGTAGAAGGTAAGAAAGTTGAACACACGGAAGCAGAGAGTAGAAAGACAGTTACCAGAAAGGTTATGGGTGAGGTGGGATAGTGAGAGGGTGGTTAATGGACACAAAACTACAGCTAGATAGGAGGAATAATATCAAGTGTTCTATAGCACTGCAGGATGACTATAATTAACAATTAATTGTGTACTCTCAATTAGCTAGAAGAGAAGATTCTGAATATTCCCAACACAAAGAAAGGATAAATGTTTGAAGTATTGGGGAAAAAAAAAATTAGTGGTTGCCAGGGTGTCAGAGGAGGAGAGAGGGAGGCAGAGAGGGATGAGTAGGTGGAGCACAGAAGATTTTTAGGGCAGCAAAACTATTCTGTATGACTCTGTAATGATGAATATTGCATTTGGCAAAACCCACAGAATTGTATAACAGAGGGAAACCTAATGTAAAGCTGAGTTAATAATAATGCAAGTGTACTCCAAAAAGTTTATGGAAAATAGAATTAAAAGTTAATTTGAATCTTTCTATGAACTTTTTGAAGAATGCACATATATCAATATTGGTTCATAATCGCGACAAATATACCACACTAATGTAACATATTTATGATGTTGGGGGGCAGGGTACGGGAACTATCTGTCCTTTGTGCTCAATTTCTCTGTAAACCTAAAACTGCTATAAAAATAGAGTGTATTACATAAGGGAAAAAATGAAAGAAAATGTCATATGAAACCAAAAGAAGTACAAGATTTGACAGATGAAAGTTGGAAAGAAAGGTGAGCGTGGGAACTTAATCCTCCCCCGGCCACAAGGGATTTGCAGAAATTTGGGGCATTGGGTTTTTCCCCAGAGCAGAGGATAAGTCTTCAATCTAAACATGTTTTTTAT